GACTCATTGGTTAGGGTGGAAGAAAAAAGTTCTTTATAGAAATCTCTGGCCACTTTCAAGCCATGGGCCGAGGAATATGAGGTGACTTCGTGGGTTTTGGTCGGGTCATAAAGCCGCTCTATGGACGATCGCCTGGCCCTGGTTTGTGCCAGCGCGAAGAAGGATGCGTCCATTTGTCCTTCAGTGTTGTGCCTGGATAACTTGCCTTTGATGATGGAGCCCTGCCACCTTCGATGGGCGAACTCTAGCAGTTGTTTTTTTAGTAGTTGTAATTCAGCGGATATAGTTTGAGGATGAATGAACATCGACACATTGCTTTCCTGTTCAAGGCTACGGATTTTCTCCTGGATGTTAATCTCCTATGCATATGTTTCTTTGGCTTGTATTTTGGAAAATTCATTGCATTTCCTGGCCACAAAGGCCAATCTGTTATTAAACCATGCGATATAAGAGTCATGACGGTCCCGCGTGGTCCGCCAATACTCCCATACGTCTATAAGAAAAGCCCGGAATTGATGTAGCTTCAAGATAGATGTGTTAAGTTTGTAAAAGTCGGGGCCCTGGTCTGTTTTTTTTTGCGGAATCTGAGTAATATCACACACATCTTGTGGTCTGCTTCCGGCGATGGACTTAGTGGGAAGACGGCGGCTGCTTGCAGAGCCCTGTCCAGATTCTCTGCCAAGAGGACGAGGTCTATTCTAGACCTGGATTGTAAGGGTGTATTGCTATTGCGAATGCACGTGAACAATGTCTTTCGTGGGTGTAGTCGCCTGAAGGAATCATAGAGGTGCTCCTCTTCGCAGAGCTTACAGATGATTCCTTCATCCGCTTCTATATAAGCGGGGCACGGGGAGGGGACTCTCCACCTGTCAAGGCTACAATCCGGAGCCGCATTAAAATCACCTGTGATGATTGCTGGTATGCCTTGTGGCAGCTGGGATCGTATATATTCAAAAAAGGTTTTGCGATGTTCAACGCCATTGGGGCCATAGATGCAAATCACACTGACTACTTCTACTTCCAGCATAAGGAGGGCGCCTCCCTCGTATCTACGGCGGAGTGGACAACTTCCGCTCGAGAATCTGGGGAAATCCAAATCGCCTGCCCGGTCTCGGTGCGTGTGCTGCAATTTTTTGGAAAGGCCAGGCCAGGTTATGTGCCTTGGCATGTTATGGAGAGTTTGTGAGGTGGGTTTCCTGGATACAGATTAGGTCCGGCCAACGCCTCCCCCCCACCCCCCTGATTTGCTCTAGTATTGCCTTTCGTTTCAAGGGGTTTGCTGCTGCCAACCCATTCACGTGAGAGAGCGTAAGTCCAGATCCGCTACCTGCGCTGCCCTGGTCCAGGCCTTCTCTTTTCCATAATGGATATGTAGCTCACCTGCGTTGGGTTGCCAGTCCCGTGAACGGTGTTGCTGATCTCTGAATTCAGACTGGTTCATTGGTAGACATAGGCGTCCAGTCTGCTTTGTCTAGGGAGGAGGGTTCCTGAAGGGTGTTGTGCCTAAGAAGTGAACATAAGCAGCGGGTTACCTCCGGGGTACTCCAACCGGGACTATCTCTAATCCTTGTCTGTTGCACTCCCAGGAGCTCCGCGTGGGTGAGCCAAATCAGACCAGCATCCTTGGATTCACTGAATCGGGCAAAGGCTACCCTTTGCGCCATGTGCGCTTCACCTTCCTTTGCCACCCACTTAGCCTCCACCCCCGGCTCATACTGGGACCCCACAAATTTATCCAGATCCCACTGGAGGACCTTCTCCCCCTCAATGTCTTAATCCTAGAAGGAGGACCACCCCTTCAACGTTGCACCTCCCTTCCCCGGACAGAGGCCCACCTCCCATGATCCTTTCCTCTTTCTCACTGGGATCAGAGGAAGTCCGGTAGTGGACATTTTCCCGGTCCCGCCGCCCTGCTCTAGACATTGTCTCAACCGACGCCTCTTCACGGGCTCATTCTCCTGCAGGGATCACGTCTCCGGACTAGGATTTTGAGGGGCGATTTCGGACGGTGTCTGCTGTTGGTGTTCTATTTCACCAATCCCTTTGCTGGCGCCTGTTGACCTTTGGTTGTCATCCCCTTGCATGTCTTTACTTGCCCTCCCAACAGAGCTTTCTCCCGACTCCGACGTTTGGCTCCCTGGTGAGGTGTGCCTATCCTCCTTGTGGGGTGGTGGAGGCAGCAACTCTGCCACCGTGTGCAGTACTCGAAAGCCAACTTCGCACCAAGACAGCCCCGGAGGAAGTCCCTCCGACATCACCTTTTTGAGGCTGGGACTACCATCTAAAATAGGGAAAATTTTCAAATATGTGGTGTCCCAGAACTCGTCCGTTGCCAGCCCGTATCTATCCTTCAGGCTGTTGAGGAGCCAGTCTGCCAGTTGGATAAGTTTTTGCTCTACTGAAATTTGTTGCTCTTGGCAGGTCTCCTTAGTGGCTGGCTCCTGAAACTCCTCCATTATTATATCAGGGGGCAGTGTAGAGGGAAGCGAGGATGGTCCTACATCCATTGGGGCGGGACCGAAGGCATCCCTGAAGGGGTCGCGATCAGGCGCGCTTAACTTCCCTTCCTCCTCCCTTACCTCCTCTCCCTCCTCCTCCTTCTCCATTGTCTGGTTTTGCAGCAGTTCACCTTTGTTTGGACACGCCGCCAGAAAGTTTCCTTTTTTAACCTGTTCCCCCCTGCCCCCCCCTTCCCCTTTCTCCCCTTCCTCCCGTTTCTCCCCTTTCTCCCCCTTTTCCCCTACAATGATTCCGATGCCCTCTTCAACCCTCAGCAATTGCTGTGTCCCCTTGCCCCTTCCATTTCCTTCTCTGGAGCTAACCCCCTCCTGCTGTCATGCAAATAGGCCTGAGGTGCTGGCCCGGGCAGGGGTGAGCCCCCCACAGGACCCAGTGGATCCTGGGTCAGTTTGGCTCTCCATTCCCGGTGGGGTAGGTGAATGTGCTCCTGTCCATTCCCAATTTCCTTTGCTTTCCTTGAGGCCTCCATTTCCCGTTGTGATTGTTGATGCTGTTGAGTTGTCTGTGTGGTCCCCCCTGCTTGTCCCAGCCATCTGTAGACTGGATTTGGGGCCTTCTATCTCGGGCTTGGCTTGCAACAGAATGAGGTAATCTTTTGCAGACTGATGTGTGGACTATTTATGGTTAGCCACTCACATTGAGGACAGTGGCACTGAACAGAGCGCAGATTTGTGGCCTGTCTTTTCTATTTTTCCTATAAGCATGTAGAATGTTAAGACAAAGACGAAGATGCATGCACAAACACGGGGGGTAGGTGGGGTGTTCTGGGGTAAGGACTCGAAATCTGTTCCTGCGGGTTGTGTTCAAGTCTGATAGTGAGCATAATCTGTTGGTGAGTCTTCATCGAACTTGCATGAGGGTCATATGAATATGTCATCCACTGTGCTATGTGGTGTGCCTTGTTTTTGATGATTTGGACAGGGAAAGAGAGACACAAGTCACATTTGATGATCTCATGGTTTACAAAGGTTATTTACAGGTTTGTTTTGCCCATTCTTTTTCTCTTGCAGGTATGGCTAGGTCAGAGGATAGCATCGTTCCATCAGGCGCTTTGATTAAAGCGATTTTGATCCACAGGTGGGTCCTTGGAGAATCAGCGCACCATTTCATTGAAGTTTTGACACAGTCTCTTTTCTCGTAAAGATATTAAGTTGGCAATCTTTAGGGAATGGCTGCCAAGGGAAGTCTCTTCATGTTCGAAGAGAACCAGGTCTTTGCTGCTCATTTGAACCGCCACTCGGATCAAAGCTATTTTATTGGACTTATTGATTTTCCCGAGCCTGGAGCACCGGGCCCAATGTCTTGGGCTGCCGCGTCCAGCAGGGAGAAAACATGTGCGTACGCTTGCCACCTATATTCGTTTTTAACATACTTGTGGCGCGCCAGTGCGGAGCAGTGCGCCAGGCGTAGTGGGCGGATACATGATGTGCACGCACCGGCTCACACTCGCACACCATGCATATATGAGCAAAGCGCTGTGCGCGGTGCTACTACACTGATGAACCAGTGTGGTTTTTTTTTTTCCCATTTTCTATGCGTGTGTGAGGTAGAGAGGGAGAGAAAGAGAGCTTAACTGACTCCAAAATCTTGCTTAGAAACGTTATGGACCTAATGTGGTGCATTGAAATCACAGGACGGCTGAGCTCCCTTTGACAGCCCAAGGGAATCACATCAGGCCATGAAATCGACCAACAGAAACGACACTTTGTCGGACATGACCGTGAACTTGGCTGTCACAAATGGATGTTTTCAACAGTCGCCTGGGGCGATTTCCACTAGCAAATAGGACTGGATTAAGCGCCTGAATATGGATGGGGTTTGGAGAAAAGTGCAGAAATCCAGATCGCTATGTTCTGCACTTCTCCACAAACACAAACAGATTCAGGTGCTCAATCTGATCCTCGTTGCCAATTAGACCTCGCCACTGGAGACATTCCAAAAGAAGCATGGAGGCCCAACGGTCCTTTCACGTTGTTTTGCAAAAAGCAGCCAAAACAAAAAGAAACAAAAAGAAGAGATTATGACTGACTGTAACCTGAAAGATTACATCCCAAAGGATGCCTGAGGGGCAACACCTCTACCACGAATCTCGGAGCTTCTAGATTCCTGCGAAATATCTTCTTCAGCCAAAAGGAAAAACAAATGCATTCTAGAAGAAGGGCGACGGGTAAGGACCTTATCCCAATCTGTCTCATTGGTTTGCAAAATGTATACCAAAACAGAAGTCTTGTTATTATTGCCAAAAAAGACAAAGCGACTCTCCTGTTAGAAATAGCCGTTATACTGCACAACATAGTGAATGTATCTGACGTGGTGTAGAGCTTGTGCAAACTCAGGAAAGGCTGCAAAATGAAAGGATTTTATGCTGCACGTGCCCCAGTCCTGGTCCCAGAGTCCCAGGTCCCTGTCCCGAGTCTCAAGTCCTAATCCCATGTCCCATTCTATGTCCCATTAGTGGTTTCAGCCACTTGTAAAATGTTCACGAATGCTATAGAAGAGTAGTTTTCGTTTGTACCATGATGGCAGAGGCCTAGGCGGGCTTGTTAAACACACCAGTACTTCGGGAAGTCGCTGCGGCTCATTGTAGCGACGCATTCATTGAGTGAAGGACGAAGGGTGCAGAGGTTAATTTGGGGAGGAGGCAGCAATTCAGAGGGTAGACGTGGATGATAGCCTAAATCAAGATAGCGGGGGGACATACTGGTGCAGGGCAAACAATATTGTTGTAGTCTATCTTTGCGGCAGTGTGTACTTTGTTCCAACCGTGTTGGTGAGGATGACAATACTTGCTGAGGATGCTTTGGAGAGTATCATTAATCTTTGTCAGTCTGGCCATCAGCTTGAGGATGGAATGCAGTGCTGTACTTTAGAGTTGTACCATACAAGGAGAACATGTTTCCAAAAAGTGAAGAGGAAATGACTATCACCGTTACTCATGAGATTTTCAGGGAGGCCGTGAAGCTTGGCGATATGCTCAAAGAGCATTGTTGAGACATCCTTGTGTGGCAGAGGTAGTACAAGGGATGAAGTGGGTGCATTTGTTCAGTCTGCAAACAATGACATAGATGCAACCGTGACCTTGATCGGTCTTGGGGAAACCACAAGCGAAGTCCATGGAAACGGACTCACTGCCACCGCTGTGGGGATGGGCAACGACTGTAATTATCCGCCTTGGCACGATTTGAAGGGTTAGCAGCTTGACATGTGGGGCAAGATCGGATGTATTCTTTGACGCCTTTTGAGTAGCGAAGGCCAGTGAAAGTAGCGGGAGATGTTATTGAAGGTTTTTTGAAAGCCCAGATATTCCGCAGCTTCCGCGTCATAGTGTTCTACGAGAAGTTGAGTATGGAGACCCTTGAACATCAGGGACACACAAATGATGAGAACCCTTGAGGTATGTACATTAGGCCATCTATGAGGGAGTAATTGGGGACAATGTCCATATCACGGAGCTGGTAATATACATGACGGAAGTCGAAACAAGACAAATAACCACATCGAATCGGTTATGTAATAATGGGAATAATTGGGCATGAGACATATGAGCGACAACTTTGTCATCGGGTGATCAGGTCTTCTGGACCAGGCATCAGCAACCGATTACTTTTACCGGGTGTGTGGCAGATGGTGAAAGTAAACTATGCAAGGAAGTGGAGCCAACGAGGTTGCCGTGGTGTAACATCCTTCTTGGTCGTGAGATTGGACACGAAAGTGTTGTCCGTACGGATGACGAAGTATTGCTGATCAAGGCATGTGCGCCAGACTGTGAGTGCATGAATGACAGCAAGGAGCTCTTTCTTATTGGTGGGGTAGTTCATCTCCGCAGGGATGATTTTCCGACTTTCAAAGGCAGTCGGGTACTCATCCTCAGGGGCTTCCAGGGTGGTAGGTGATTCTGCGATGGAGGGGTCAGTGATAGAGTACGAATAGGACTCGCGGGGGAAGGTTTGAGATAAAACGGGCCGAGAACAAAGTCTGATAGGTCTGTAGTGACGAGGAAAGGTAGTGAGGGATTCACAATCTTGAGAACGGGGGCAGTGGTGACTAGGCGTTTGATTTCGTTGAAGGCTGCTTGTCGGGCGTCGGTCCATAGAAACGGCTCATTCTTACGAGTGAGCTGGTGGAGGAGGTGCTCGATATTGGAGAACTGCGCAATGAAGTGGCAACAGTAGTTCGGGAGGCCAAGGAAAGAGCAAAATTGGTGAAGGTTCGTGGGAGCGGGGAAGTCAAGGGCGACCTTGACCTTTGTTGGGTGCAAGTGGATGCCTTCAGCAAAGACAATGTATCCTAAGTAGTCGACGCTCGAGGCAGCAAAAGAACATTTGCTAAGTTTTGCATAGAACTTTTGCTCTCGAAGGATGGACAAGACTTGTCGAATGTGCCGTAGGTGCTCGTTGTAGGTACGACCAAAGACAAGGATGTCATCAAGGTATACAATAATACAAACTGCAGGCAGATCGCAGAAAACACGATTCATGCAAGACAAGAAGGTGGGGGTGTCTGAGAGGCCCAGCAGCATAAGACGGAGCTCTTTAGTGATCAAAGCGACTTCAAACGGCAGTCTTATGAATTTCTTCGGATTTGGTTGAAGCCAAGAGGAAGGTCAATCTTTGCAAAATTCTTGACTTCTCAAAGGCAATCAAGAAGTTTGGAAATCCAAGGCATTGGATACTTGTTCTTGATCTGTGGTTCTTGGTAACCTGTATTGTCGGGCTGTGGAGTCTGTGTCCCACTACGATGCTCTATGGCTGGTAACTGGACACAGCACCAGAAACCCAAGGGAAAGAGGAAGCCATAGGAATGGAAGAGGACTGAAAAGATGAGAAGGGCAAAAATGGGGTAACGTCCATTTTGGGGGTCCGCACAACAGTCAGCGTGGTTGGACCCTGTTCCACAACCTCGTGAATTTAGACCTACACTGAACTCTTGACTCCACCCCGCTGACTTTGACCCATATGGCTATGACTTGTAGACTGACAAGGTGTTACCTCACATTGACTGGACTACCGGGTTACAACAGATTACATTGACTGGCCGAACAGGCAGTTTAAGGACAGCTCGGAAATCCTCAAGAATCATTTGCCATCACAGACAGGACAACGAGGTCAGGCGGTATCTCCACTCGCCCTCACACCTTAGGACTGGTCAACGTGGTTGGCAAGCACACCTGTCAGTCCCGGTCATTGGTGCTAGACAGGTGGTTTCATGAGCGCCCGCTGCTGATGCCTGCGCAGCTGCTTAATACAATATTGGCTTCAGCAGGCTGACCCTACCTATCTACTCCCTCCGACACAACGTAGGCCTGGTCGACATCAACAAGCAGAGCGATTGCAGCTCAATTCGGGAAAGATCATGAACATCCAATCAAGGCCAACACATCGGCATGCAAGGCTTGGGAGCAAAGTCTTTCAGTCCGAGCTCGTAGAAGACTTCCCTCTTTTCCCTTTAATGGTTTATTTTCTGAAACTGCCGCAGCCTCACACTTGTCGGCCTTCATCCACTCACGCAGGCCACCCCCTTGTTCGCTGGCCTTCTTCTTGACACGCTGGTTCATCCACTCACGGTGGCCACCCCCTTTGTTCGTTGGCCTTCTTCTTGACACGCTGGCTGACTCTCCATGTAAGAGACTCTCTTCTTTAGTAGTGCGCATTAGGTGGTCCCTAACGTGTGTCGGGTGCCTCTTCAATGCGCCGGACCTTTATCAGGCACCCACCCTACTAGCTCCTTCGGTACACGCTGCTTCTGCACCCAGAGGCTTCTTGCATCTTGTGGCATTCTTCTTCTAAGCATGTTTCATTCCCCTTCACACGCCAGTAGTGTACCGACCACTTCTGTAGCAGCGTCCAGTTTGTAACCACACCTCGTGCCGTCATCTTTCCTTTGACGATCTACAGCATGCCAATCACTCTGGCTTCCTCCATGCATGCGCGTCAGGTAAGTTCCCCTTCCGACTTGCCTTGGCATTTTCGTCCTTGCCGTGCCTCGATCTCTTTTACTTACACACAAGCTATTCTCCATCACGCATGTGGGATCTCACTTCGTCTGAGACAACAAGAGTCTGGATTTCACACCTGATG